AATCCTGAGTCCAATAACCATCAAAGTCACTCCAATAGTGTTCCTTAATGACGCTTTCATCCTCCTTTAACAAAATACTTCACATTCATCCAGTTTAGGACAGTAGTTGTAGCATTTTGAGACTTTTAAACTTCAATTACCGCTGTTGCGCCGTGTGTGTGTGTGTGTGTGTGTGTGTGTGTGTGTGTGTGGGGGGAGTTATTTGGGGGGGCAACAAGAGTCATTTGGGGGGGCTCTTGGGAAAAAAGGTTGGGAACCCCTGCTCTAGAAGGCCCGGTAGTTCACTGGCTCGAGACAGAGGATCTAGATAAATGCGACGAAGCAATTCATGCTGTTTTATTGTTTTTAACGTTGAAATGACAAGTGCAACAGATGAAGATGAAGTTGTTGCGGAATTGTTATGAGTACCCTTTTCAAGACGACAATTCAGTGAAAAGATGGACATTATAATGCCGCGGAAGGTCTACAGTTGTGATTCGGTTCGCCACTGCAATAACGTTATGTAGTATAAATAAAAATTGAGTTTATTGTTCCATTTTGTTTGTCTTGTTGTTATTGTTTTGCTCTTTTTAAATTCAAATAACTTCAGCAGATATAATCCTGGTGATGATGTTAATATTTTGTCCAACCTAGTAAATAGTCAGTTGACAGAATGTCCCATTCCAGAGCGCTGATTGGGTCCTCTTCATCTGTCCCTTCCAATGACTCGGGACGCAACACGTGCTTTTGGCCTTTACTCCCTGAACAAGAGAGGGCAGATGGATCAAAGAGCAGCTGTGTGTTTACAGGAACATGCTTCTGGCTATGGAACCTAAGGAGAAGTGTAGAATTCAACTTTATAAGAGGAAATACGATCAATGGTCGAGACGCATGGCGCTTATGATGAGATCTTCTTACATGAGCAAAGCTATAGTATCTGGATGGGAATCGAAATGGCAATCTGTCTCCAAAGTATAACTTCACAGACCTTTATTTTTATAAACAGTATGCTAAGAAAGAATTTCTTAGGGAGGCTGAACGCCAGGAAGGGTACTCTGAAGAAGATGTGGTATTCATTGAATTGACTTCACTGAGAAACTTTGATAATAATCATATGCAGTGAAATGAAACACAATTTGTACTTCGAAATCATATACATTTGTTATAGTGAGCCCCAAACTAAATACCTCCAAGCAATGAATGTAAGACAAATGAATATCCCAAGTGGCACACAAATACTGTACATGTATGATCATTTGTGGTAACCACATTTAATTGAGTTGAGAAAAGCCACTTTCTTTCAAATACCTGGCTGAAAAACAGACAAACTTCCATCTGTGTGTCCAAACACCAGTTTGCCTTTCTTGGTTGGGTGCCATCTGAAGAGACAGATGTCTGACAGGAAGGAGTGGGCTTCTTTATGCACTGTGACCCCCGGGTCAGGCCCTCCATACACCCAGATGTACAGCGGACCACGTTGGGAGACAAAGGCCACTCCGTCAGCTAGGTTCCAGCACCAGCTGACTGAGGCAGGGACACCTGGGGAGCAGAGGAGACACTGTGAGACATCCCAGTACTCAACACACCGCCTGTCAACAACACCTGCTGCAGCTCATCATCCACCTTTAGTGTTGTCCAGTCGGGCAACAGCCTTTTGTTCAGCTACGTTCCATATAATGAGCAGGTTATCAGCTGAGGATGATGCAAACAAGTCTGGGTTGTCAGGACACCAGCTGATGGCTGTGATGGTCTTCTTGTGCTCAGACATGATGGACCTCAACTTATATTCATTGTACTGCTGGTCCAACTAAACCAAGGAGACAGAGAAAATGATAATGAAGTAAAATAAAGGAAAAAACATCTATGCTCATGGGTTAAACATCAATTCTGCTACTGCAATTTTATGAAACCGCTCTGCAGTAGTAAATGATTGTTGACAGAGATGAGAGTTAGCTTGAAGTGATGCATTGCAAGCTGTCAATAACATTAGCAGAGCAGAGACACAATGTAGGAGCCCTCCATGTTATTGTTTGCATGTCATTTTATTTTCATTACCGACTGTACTCTATCTTTCAGTATTCTTTTTGAAAACCTGGTGGGGGTGATTAGACACACAGGGGTGTGTGAGTGGGTAGGTGAGGAAAGGGAGGGAGAGAACACAGTATTTACTTAGTATCATGGAAACTTGTATGTGTCCCAATGTCCTTTTTTCTGGCAGACACAAACAGAAGACGCTACAAACGCTACAGAATCAGAGCTTCAAACTACAGATGGAACAACACAGGTAGAATTTCAAAACTGGTATTGTAACAATTTCAACAAACTAAACTACATCTGACAACTACAAAACGTCCTTTTGTGTGTGATCACTGCTACCACCTACCTGGGTGTTAATGGCAACCGGAAGAGAAAACCTTGGGACATGTACAAACCGCCAACAGTGTGTGAGAGCTGCTCACACAGCTAACTGCTAGCATAATGTGCCATTTTAAATGTAAGACATTCACCGCCCTCATGAAAACAAAGACAGACAAGTCGATCACCTGGTAGATGTATATAGCCAGAGTGGCGCAGTAGGCGAAGCGCTCTCCACTGGCAGCACACACATCTTTGTTCCAGGGCTGACAGCCTGCTGCCAGCAGACCTACCTGCTTCACCCGGGACATCTCACCTGGAGACACAAACACACATTTATGAAGGTTTATCATGAACCTTTTACGAGATGAAATCTTTGCATAGCTTTAATTCATATGTTCTGTGTATTTCCATCTTATGTTAAATGTAGACTAATAAGCATCGGTCTCAGTCGACAGTGGAGGAAATGATGATTTGATCCCTTGCCGATTTTGTAAGTTTACCCACTTACAAAGAAATGAACAGTCTATCATTTTAATGGTAGGTTTATTTTACTAATGAGAGACAGAATATCAAAAACAATATCCTGAAACATCAATTGGTTACCTGTGTAAAAGACACCAGTCCACAGAATCAATCAATCAGATTCCAACCTCTCCACCATGGGCAAGACTAAAGAGCTGTCAAAGGACCTCAGGGACCAGACTGTAGACCTGCACCAGGCTGGGATCGGCTACAAGACCATCAGAAAGCAGCTTGGGGAGAAGGAGACAACTGTTGGTGCCATTATTCAGAAATGGAAGAAACACAAAATGAGCATCAGTCGCCCTCGGGCTGGGGCTCCACACAAGATCTCACCCCGTGGGGTTTTGATGATCAGGAGAAAGGTGAGGGATCAGCCAAGAACTACATGGGAGGAACTTGTTAATGATCTCAAGGAAGCTGGGAGCACAGTCACCAAGAAAACTATTGGTAACACACTACAGTGCACCATAATTGCCGATAGCCTCCTTCCCTCAGCCAGGACACTGAAAAAGGGTCATGGAGGGGTCTTCCAGCAGGACAATGACCCTGAACATACGGCCAAGGCAACACAGGAGGGGCTAAAGAAGAAGCACATTGAGGTGAGGGAGGGGCCTAGCCAGTCTCCGGACCTTAATCCCATAGAAAATCTGTGGAGGGAGCTGAAGCTTCCAGGAGCCAAGCATCAGCCTCAAAACCTGCAGGATTTGAGAGGGTCTTCAGGGAGGAGTGGACCAGCATCCTTCCTGAGATGTGCACAGACCTGAAGACCAACTACAAGAAGTGTCTGACCTCTGTGTGTCCAACTAGGGTTTCTCTACCAAGCACTAACACATGTTCTGCAAGGGGATCAAATACTTATTTCCCACAGTTAAATGAAAATATATTTGTATCTTTCATATAAGGTCATCTGGATGTTTTTTTTGATATTCCTACTCTCTATTCAAATAAACCTACCATTACAATGACAGACTGTTCATTTCTTTGTAAGTGGACAAATTGCAAAAATCTGCAAGGGATGAAATAATTGTTTCCTTCACTGCAAATAACTAAATAAATAAATCAAAAACATCATCCCTAGATTCTCAGTCTCTGAATGACTGTAATGTAAATGTATGATTAGTCAGCAGAAATATTATCATCTGTGTTCTTGCATTCTATTGTTAGGTGTTGTTATGCAGCACCAACGTCGCTACTGAAATCAATACCTCTTTAAATCATATTTGTGATCAATAATTGAATGTCAGTGAACAGCTCTGTTGATACCAGAGTATGACTCACAACATGCAGCGGAGCTCAACAGCTAGTAAAGGATAAGATGATTAAAGAAAGAGAGGATTGAATTAATCTGTGCTGTGATTGGCTGAAACGGCTGCTTATCTACTGAGTAATTAGTGTCCCTGTGAGGAACTGACCAATGACTGAACAGTATATCTGAATGACTGTGCTCATAGTACGACTACACAAAGCAAGAATCTTAAAAAGACTCCTGTAGAAAAACATTGTTTAGTATTAGTAATCTTGTTTTATATTTAGGGCGAAGCCCCCCAAAAGGGTCTTTTGCTTGGATAACTGTTAAACCAATCCCTTTGTATCTACAGGCTGTTGCTGGGTAGCATCTTCACTAAAACGCTCCTAGAAATAATAAAAGATGATCTTCACACTCATAGAAATGTAAGAGCGTCGAATGTCAATAACATGGATAAAGAACTGTCATCGGCTTGTCGTATTTATACATTTTTAAATCTAATTTGTCCAACCTTTACAATAGCAATCATTTTGAGGCTTCATGAGAAAGGCAGGTCCCCTAGACAGGGGTGGGGGGTTTCCTAATAAGGGACATGTTCTTATTGACCCGTGACCCTGTAAGCTCTTCCTGTCAGGTGCCAATCTGCTAACCACGTGCAGTTGTCCCATTGTTGAGCACACAGCACATGTCTTGAAACACGGTGAGGACTCGACCTGTACTTCCTCTCAACAACAGATCAAATATGTTACAGTTTATGAACTGTCACCACCTTATTTTGGGCTTATTGCATGCAACTACAGATTGATTACATTGTTGTAAATGTTGTTTCTTTTCTTATGTACATTAAGCTATATCTTTGCAATCAATTGTGTCATGGTTTAAGGCATATCCTTTATTTCTTCGGTGTATTTAGTTTTGAATTTGAGTTTTTGTGTTTCTATCATGCAGAATGTTAAATGATATGTTTGTTTATTCAATGGATCAATCTTGTCTGCACCATAGGCTGCTGTTTTAAGAAAAGTGAACGCTTGTATACTGCAACTATTAGGAACGTTCACTTAATTGCAATAAAATGTGATACAGACATTTCTGGTTTATCTGGAAAATATTGACTTTGGTGATATCAACTTTTCTCTAGTGCCACCACAAGGTTACATCCGTGTATTTAAGTTAGATGGCTCAGAAGCTGGATTGTCATGAAATTACACACATTCATGTCCCCTTTCGAATAAATTCTTATCGCTTAAGTGTCCATTTATAATTTATCTAGCACCATGATCAGGCCAGATTTTCAATTTCAGCAACTCAGTGGTTTAAGACCAAAAACCTGCAGGACTTAAGACGTTCCCATCAGCCTCAGCTGTACTTCATTTTATTGCTAAAATGCTTATGTTATCAGGCAAATAAACGAGTTTATTTAGATTGTAAATATAGCTTTGTCCTCAGGAAGAAAGCCGGCACGATGTTAACCTTAGTAACTGCTGTGTCAGGTAAACAGACAGTAGTTTGCATTTGAAATCTGATGGGATCTTATCATTTTCTTAAATGGGTCTATTAACACTAAATGTGCTCCATGGAGACCATTTAAGACTTGCCATCTCTAAACGCTGCTCTCTGTAGGGTATAGGCTAGATCAGCTCACACTCTTCAAAACAGAATGAAACCATAACAGATGCCGCTCCAATAAAACATGTCGTCGTGAGACAATGTGCTGCCAGCTCTCAATGCTCTTTTAGCAGCATGTATTAGATTGTAGCTTATAAATACCCGGTTATAAGATAGGCTACCAAATCTATGTTTTTCCTTGCAAATTGCAGAAGCCGCGCTCCATTTTTGTAGGCGATCAATAGGCCCCAGCAGGGGATGTATCTATTCAGACCCAAACACCAATACTGACACCTATGCAGACCCGTTACAGGAGCTAACACACACTCCCTCGAACACTCACTATATTCCCCCTTCATTGCTGCAACCACTCGCCACAAACGCGGTTTTGCGGTTTGATGTAGTGTTTAAAGGCTAATGTCCCTCAGATAGAGGCATCAACAGATCCGCAGTGTTTGAGCCCCTCGAGTGTCGCAGGTCCGCGTTTAAAGTGCAGCGGGTTAGTGACGGACAGCCGCAGCGTGTCATGTCTGTGATGCTGTCCGTCGTTTATGTGTATATTCTAACTGCAGGTCGGTGGAGGCTGTCGGTGTTTCCTTACCGTCAGTTGTCGGTTGGCGCGTGCAGCACGGACAGCTCCAGGTGCTGAAATGCTGCTCACGGTGCTCTGCGGGGGGCGGAGCCTGATGGCGGCGGTGATTGGTCCCTGTGGATTATCATTCTGCTCAGCTATTGGCTTTCTTGGTGTGTGTGTGTGTGTGTGTGTGTGTGTGTGTGTGTGTGTGTGTGTGTGTGTGTGTGTGTGTGTGTGTGTGTGTGTGTGTGTGTGTGTGTGTGTGTGTGTGTGTGTGTGTGTCTGAGCGAGCGTGCGTGTGTGTGTGTGTGTGCGTGCATGTTTTTTGCGGGCTGTGTTAAAGTAGTTGCTCCAACATTCTCTAAGCTCATCCATTAATTAATATGATCATGTCAGCTCAGAAAAGAAAACATCATTCTCATTTCCCCTTGCACCGCCCCCCCCCCC